AAAATGTTGAAAATTTTGTTTAGATCGTACGGAAGCCTGATTTTTGAGAGCTTTGGAAAATGTGGTCTGAAAATAGATGGTTCCAAACTAGTGCTCTGTTTTTAAAACAATCACAATTTCTGAACCAGGCCAAGCAGAAATCTGAAATCTGGACAATCTATAGAAGACAGTTGATTCTAAAAATATTGAAAATTTTGTTTAGAAGGTATGGAAACCTGATTTTTGAGAGCTTTGGAAAATGTGGTCTGAAAATAGACGGTTTCAAACTAGTGCTCTGTTTTTAAAAAAATCACAATTTCTCAACTAGGACAAGCAGAAAGTTGAAACTTGCACAATCTATAGAAGACAATTGAGCCTGAAAATGTTGAAAATTTTGTTTAGATCGTACGGAAGCCTGATTTTTGAGAGCTTTGGAAAATGTGGTCTGAAAATAGATGGTTCCAAACTAGTGCTCTGTTTTTAAAACAATCACAATTGCTGAACCAGGCCAAGAAGAAATCTGAAATCTGGACAATCTATAGAAGACGGTCGATTCTGAAAATGTTGGAAATTGTGTTTAGATCGTATGGAATCCTACATTCCTAACACGTATGTAAGATCACATTAAACCAATGGATTACTGAACACCGGTATAAATTGAGCAGGAGTTAATTAACCGAATACGAGAAGAGTGCAAATAAGGTGATTACACAGGCACTTGTTTGCAGTTACAGACTCAAATGTATGTGAAAGTATTTAAGTGCACGTTTCGACATTGAAAATTCAACAAATATTAAAATGAATTTTTGCAAATACTCGGACCGACTTCGCTTGATGGTCGATGAAAATAGATTCATAAATTGCATTGTGGCAACGATTGTGGGGCGAATATTCAATTAATCCCTGAGAAAAAGGTTTGAACAACTTCTGAAAATAAACAGTAAATCGACGAAAGAACTTATTGAATTTTCTATCAGAACAGTTGATTTTGCAATAAAAATTACTTTTGTCAAAAAGCAGGGAAATATAAAATAACAGAAAAATGTGATTACAGAACATGAGAATAAGTTGTGTTGAAATTCATCTGCTACTAATAAAAAAGAACAAAGATTGTCGTTTCACTGACAAAAAAACTATACTGCACACCAAACGCTTGGTTCCAGTACATTTGGAAAAATATCAAAAGTACTTCCAAGTACTGACAATCTAGAAAACGATTTAAAACAGTTGTTCTAAAACGTTGTTCCGGTACAAAGTTGCTCATAATTGTCAATCAAAAACGACTTTAAAATAATGTCATCAAAGACAAGCGATAAAACCCAAAAAACGCCCAAAAATAGCAAACTTTCAGATGAAGCCGTTAACAGTCAGAATGAAGCCCACATCGGAGAATCCCTGGAAAATCCCCCCGATATGCGAACTATTGTTATCACCATCAACGAATTTCGAAAAATTATGCCGCTCTTCCCCATATCAGACATAAAAGCAAGTTTAAAATATCTGGAAGTAGATATTGGGGAAACTCAACCAGTTCCAGTTACTGACGATGAAAACATTCCAGTGTTGGACACGTTTGAAATCAACGTAGATATGAATTCGCCCAAACAGTTGGATCAGTTATCATCCAATCCGATTTTCGTATCGGTCATACAATCATCAGGGTCTTTAGATCCGGCTCTATATGAGCAACTGCAAGAGGCCAAAGAAGCGAAAGATGCCATCGCAGTTGAGGAAGTTGACAGTTTGTTTAGCTTGTATGAAGCGTTCACTGGGGAAAAACCTGCGGTTCAAATCGAGGAGCGAAAGAAGAAAAAGAAAGGTAACTCTCGTACGATATAGCAAAATCGGAAAAATTGCTCATCAACTAGAAAAAACATCCGGTAAATTGAGAAAGAGAGGAAATTCACATTATTACAGCGACACTAACACGGAAAATCTTATGAAAAGCATCGGCATAAAAATAAAGACAAATTACAGGATATCCACAAATTAAACCCGCCCAATGTTGAATTGCTTGCATTCTAATTAACGGAAGTTCCGATTAAAATAAATTATGGCCTTATAATGCTTGCAGATAAAAAGGTGAAACCTGAAAAAAGTGACCGAGATAAAAGCAAGTCCCGATCGAAATCCGCTACCAGCAGAGTTTCCGATAAATCCAAGCCTTCGAGAACCTCGAAAGCATCCACAAAAGCTGATAGTAAAAGCAAATCGGAAGCTATCGCTATAAAGTCAGAGATCTACGGAATGTGCGTGATCGATCTGATCCCACTATTTTATTCCGAAGTTTCTTTCTCGGAAACTTTGCTTCTTCAGCCAGTCAAACAAACCTGCCACATGCTAAGTGCATGTAAAAACTTCCCGGAAGCAACAGTTACAGTTGAAATCAAAGACAAAGCCCCTCTACTAGTCGATATCAAAAACATTCTCAACTTCACGGTGGAATCAATTTGCAATGTTCCTGCGCTGATGGGGCCGGAGATGGATTGCAAAATTTGCGCTATTCTGCCTCTTCAGAACAACGAAGCGTATCCGGTGATTGTTTCCAATCCGAAAGTCACAAACGCAACACCACCAAGCAGGCTCCCCAAAAGATGGCCAGGAGTCCAAGACATTGGATACAACGCAAATACCACCAAATATTTCATAGAGAACGACTTTAAAGAAGTAACAAATAAGGCAAAGTTGAACATTGAAGACGGCTTCAGAGAAGGAGCCCCACGCTTGGAGTACAACTACTTGAAGAGAAACATCCTGTTCAGAAACAGCAACAATCATTTTGCTGCTCATATAATTACTCATCGGAGGCTTGTGCTCGAGCTGTTTGTTACTCCAAGAACTAAAAAGCAGAAAGCTCTAGATGATGATGACAATGAGGAAAGTCACTCCAGGAACAAACCCGCCAAACTGCCCCCCTATCTTCACTTAATGGCAGTTCTGGATGTTGTAGCTCTTCTCTATCCTGGCGTTTCCAAAGTCAGGGTGGCCGCTCCGGTGAAAACTTTCACCTTTGAGGAAGCCGCCAACTTCGGCTTGACTGATTCATATTTCATGCCCAAACCGAAATCGGACCTTGGAACAAGCAAAACGTCCAAAACCAAACTGGATACCATGAAAAAGAAGAAAGGCGAAAAAAAGGAAAAGGCGTCCAAAAAAGATAAAAGTTCTGCTGAAAAGCAAGATAAGAATTTGGCCAATCAACTGCCGCCCAAACCAGAAGATCCTCCTGCTCCAGAGCCGAGCGTTCAAGTCTACAACGAGGAAGGAAACCCGTGTTTTATACTAGTGGAAATTGAACTTCTCAAACCCTTCAAGCCGAAAAGAAACATTGAGGAGCTACAAGCGGACCTTCACGAACTTCAAACGAAGGCGATGCAAACCTCCAAAACTATTCTCAATAGAAACGTGGCAGATGAGCTGTACCAGCAGACCATAAGGGAAATCATTGCCGACTTGAATAGAAACTGGATAGAATTCAGTGAAAGTATGAGTGCAACTGCAAGGCCGAATTTCGAAAACTTCATGGAATATCTGGAGAAAAATGGTGTCTACCAGGCCTACTTGGGCTCTATTACCAATTCAGCTGCTCTTCTGATCTCAAACAAGTACAGCTGCGAAGAAAGCGACTTCAGGAACAACAAAAAGTACCAGAATCTGATATCGGAAGTTTTCTGCGACCTCACCTCCCAAATGCACAGCATTTTAAACAACTTAGTGTGTACAGGGATGAAGCCAGTAGAACCGCAAAATCTACTGCCTGAAGACGAAAGTTTCTTCAATGCCAAGGAAGCCACCGAATTAAAGCTATTCGACAAAGCCGACCGATATTTTCTGGAGCGCATTTGCCTTGTTCGAGCTCCAGATCTCTGGATTGACTATGCAATCTACAACTTGGAAGTGAAGAACACTGAAAAGGCCTTCGAGTGCCTCAAAGAAGCCATAGCAATCGACTGCAAGCATAAATATGCCCTACTTTGTTTTGGTGCCTTAATGGCCGATAAAGAGCAAATCCAAGAAGCCGAAACCTGCTTCTTAAATTTGATGATTCTGGAGTCCAAATGGGCGGAGGGCTGGTGCGTTTTATACCTGTTTTACCAAAAGTGCGGAAGAGTGGAAGGAATGGAAATGGCAATGGATATGGCCAGGAAGTCATCAGAACATATTGTGTCGCGCGATTACATCACTTCTTTTGAAGACTTAGCTTGGAGCGGCCAAAATGTTCCAAAAACCGTGTTTTTCAAAACCGCCATGCTTCTATTGAAGCTCAGGCTGCTTTCGTGGGCCGAGCTGGCCTTGGCCGAAGAAGTGCTCATTCCGAAGCATTACCCATATGTTAATTACTTGCTGGCAATTGCAAGTTATTATAGGGAGGACTATGATCATGCTTTGGAACATATAGAAGAAGCTAAAGAGTCGCTGGGTGAGTTCAAGCTTTACTCATAAAAAAGTCTACTCAAGTATGACCGGGTATTGGGGTTTGATTAAAAATGATCTTTACTCTCTAATCATTGCCGATGTTTCCACCCTTTATTCGGGTCTTTATCAGGACTATTTTTGATATTAAAGGTCATAATATGATCTTCCATGTCGCGAAGATACGCATGATCATGATGATATGAGCAATTCGTAATTAATTGTTAAACAAACATCAGCATTTTTCTGTAGTAAACAATATGATTATTTGACCACCCGTTGCTGTGTACTACTCTTAAAAGCACTGTTGAAAACAGCAGTTTAACTTAGAACAAACTCGCTATAACAACATAACGACCTTTTGGTGTCAAAAATAGTCTTGAGAAATACCTCAGTAATGAGTCAAGGCGTCCGGCCATTTTCAGGCAATAAAAGGAGTTTTGAATCCAATCTCAAACCCGTTAGATGAACATACTTGCGTTTTGGGGGACGCTACCAGACACGTAAAAATCTCTAAAACAGTTACTTCCAGGTGTTGATTTTGCGTTAATGTCTTTGTCAGCCCATGCAAATTTCGGAAAGGGAAATTTGGAAAAAGCGAAAACTCAATACTTCCATGTCATCGAATCTTTCGATCGGCCGGAGGACATTCATTTGGTCTACCTAAAGTGCGCTGATGTGCTTAGCAAATTAGGCGAAGATCAGCTAGCGAGAAAATTGCTCCTCACCGCCTGCAAATACCATCAAACGCCGCACGTTTGGTTCATGGTAGGAAAATTGTACTTCCAGCAAAACGACGTATTTAGTGCTGAAGAGTGCTTGAATGAGGCCAACATAAAAGACAACAGACATGCTGAAGTGTGGGGCTACTTGACTTTGATCAATCTCAAACTCAATCGGCTGCACGAGGCAGAACAATGCTACCAACAAAGCATGAAGAGCAAACTGGATGATGCTTATTTAATTGATGGAATTACGGCCGAGTTCATCAAAGCCAATAGTATTTGAACATCAAATTTATGTATATCTACCTAAAGGTGATTGGTTCCACAATAAAGTTGAGAACATACATAAAGTTGTGTACAGACACATTTTATAGTTTCGTCTAAAAGAAGATAAGTTTCAATAATAGATGCGGTGAAACGAATGGATTTTTCGGATTTTTAGGCCGTCGTTCGGTAGAATTTCTTCCTGACGTTTCGCAAGCACGAGTGGCTTGCATCTTCAGAAGTGGTTTGCTTGAACGCTTACACTGTTCTCATCAGTCTGAACGGGTCCTAATGTTCAGACTTCAAAATTATTCAGTTCTCAAAATGAGGCAGAAATTAAGTTAGAAGGAAGAAAAAGTTTTAAAGAACCCCTTGTATTCTACTCATTTACATTCCCAAAGCATTAGAATATGAGAATAATATTAGAAGTCGCATTGAACACCGCATCTATTCTCAAAAGAGATAGACTTTCGAGGGCATTCCGTGAAACTAATGGAATTTTCGGGTTTTTAGGCCGTCGTTCGGTAGAATTTCTTCTTG